CGGTGTGTGCGTGGCTGTGGTCGTCGCAGGGGTGCCGTGGCTGCCTGGCCGTGGGCCTCTCAGGGGTGCCGTGGCTGCTTGACCGTGGGCCTCGCAGGGGTGCGATGGCTCCCTGGCGTGCTTTTCTGCCTGGCCTTGTTCTTGTCGCCCTCGGCGCAGGCGAGCCGCCTCCTGGCAGTGTCCCCAGACTGACACTGCCTCCAGAGTCAAGCAAGGCCCGCAGGCGGTCTTGGCGGCCTGGGCCCGTCCTCACATTTCACTGCCTACGTCCCTGCTCCCGGGAAACCCTCCGTGTTCCACGTCGGGCCGCCGCTCACCCTCTTCCTGCCTCCCGGGACACCTTTCCCTCATTTTTGCTCGTCCGTCTCTTTCCTGTCCTGTCACAGCAGTGGCCACGCATAGGTCGGCCCTGAGCCTGGGCCTCATGCCGGCACGTCCCCGCTCCTCACACCTCCCCTGTAAGAAAGGGTCTCTTGTCCCCATTTCACAGAGGGAAACCCAGGTCACATGGTCAGGACCGCATAGCTAGGAAGTGACTGTGTGGGGCTTGACCCCAGGCCTGCCTGGCTCCTCAGCCCAAACTCTGAAACCTTCTAAGACAGGAGTCTGAGAACCACAGCCTGTGGGCCCCACCTAGCCTGTGGCTTTTTTTTTCAATAAAGTTTTATTGCAACACAGCCATGCCCACGTGTGATCTGTGGATGGCTGTTTTCACTCTACAACTGCGGAGCTGAGTGGTCAGGACAGATCGGATGGCCCAGATATGCCCTTTTCTGGCCCTTCACAGAGTTTGCCGATGCTGCGCAGCCCCAGGTTCAGTGCCACCCACTCCCAAGGTCGTCGTTGGAGCTGGTCCTTCTCATACTTCTCAAACTCAGGCGCCTTTTAGACCCACCTAGGGGAGTGCTAAATATCTCGGTGCTCAGGCCTCGGCCTTAGCAATGAAATCAACCTGTGGAGATAGAGACCGAGTTTTGGTTAGGATTTTTAAGACTATTTTGAAATACATCGTTAGTTCTTAAAAATCCTTTGGTGTTTTCAGTGGACAGCCAAGTTGAGAAGCATGGCCTACAGGTGCAGTAAAACCTTCCTGTACTGCCTGTGAGCTTCTTCAATATCCCAAATAACCCTCACCCAGAGAACACCGGCTGGCCATTCTCTAGCATTCATTCATTCGACAAATGGCCTCTGAGCCCAGCGGGGCCGGCTGCCGTGCAGTGGGGTGAGGACGTGAGGCCCGTCCCGCGAGTGGGCTCTGCGGAGGCCGGCTCTGGCCAGTGACTCACTGTGCAGACTGAGCAATGACAGGGAGTGTGCGGTGGGCTGGGAGGAGGCTCCTGGAAGACGAGGCCTGGAGTGGATCCTCTGCGTGCACAGAGAGGGATTGGGCCTCCTCAAGGCCAGGCTGGGGAGTGGCCAGAGGTGCTAAGCCTGTGTGAGGTCGGGGGGACACTGGGTGGAACCCCACTTGCTCGGCAGTCGAGCAAGGAGCAGAAACCTCTTCAGCCTTGCTCAGCCCGGGAGTCCAAGGCACCTAGGCAGTCGGCAGCCTCTGGTGGGAGGTGCAGCTGCCCCCGGGACGGGGACGGGCAGCTGGAGTGGGTTCAGGCCTGCTGGAAAATTTTCTCTGGCCTCTGTGCTGGACCGGTGCTCCCCAACCCCCACCCTGGTCCCAGGGGTCAATTCCACCATGACCTTCCCCTCTGCTTCTCTTCCTGGCTGTTCCCTGGCTGGCCCTCCTCCCGAGGCCTCAGGGTGAAGGGCTGTCCCGGCTGGGCGCCTTAGAACTCTAGGCTCCCTTGCTAACGGCCCTGGCCCCGGCTCCACCTTCTTAACTGGACATCTCACCCTGGTCCAGCTGGCCAAGGGAGAGGCGGGGTAAGGGTGTGCAGAGGGCCAGGACACGTGCCCCTGCTGGGTCTGAGGAGAGGTGAGGGCTGGCAGTAACCCTCCTCCATCCCCACCAAGCCCCTCACCCTTAACTGCTAACCTCTCATCCCCGCCCGCCCCATCCGGTCTGATGGGCAGTATGGGCACCAGACTCTCTTAGCTGTCTGGGTGGAGTGCCTGAGGTCCAAGCTGGTGCATCTCTCTCTCCTCAGCTCCCGCCTGGCAGCCGGCATTCTGTCCGGACAGATGGCAGCCTGCACCGAGAGCAGGCGCTGCAGGAAGACGCCGGGCGGTACAGCTGCGTGGTCACCAACACCGCCGGCTCTCAGCACCGGGACGTGGAGCTGGTTGTGCAGGGTGAGTCGTGGGGCCCTGAGGGGAGCTGGGTGTGGGGCTGGGGTGGGGTGGGGAATTTGATCTTGAACACTTTTGTGTAAAAAATAATTCTGACCACGGCGTGGTGGTTAAGGCAGCTGAATCCCATATGGCCAACTCGTGGTTCAAGTCTCGAACCCCATAGTTTCAGAAACATGCTGGGCATGTGTGCGTGTGCCCCAAGTCCCACGGAGAGAGAGAGATGGAGGAGAAGGGATTGCAGTGTGACTATGCCCCACGGGGGGTGCTTCTGACTTTCTCTGTGTCTGGTGAGTGCACAGGCCTGCTGGCAAAATTTTAAAAAATAGCGCTTATTCCTGTAGGTGAGTGAGAGACTTGGCATGTTAAAATACTCCCATCATATTGGCGGCTGGGAACAGCCAGGTTTACCTGCCGGTGTGCAATTTTCCACAGTTAATGCACACACTCCGTGTATGTACACACTTGTGCATGTGTTATATATGTAATATGTACATGCATGCACACTGTGCAGGGGAACTTCAGAAAATCTGGAAAATGGAATTAAAGCATTAGTTTATTTTGGAACAAAACATTTGAAGTTCGTGCATGGTTTTATCATGACTAAGCCCTTCCACGATTTCTGACCTGCGTGGACATAGAATGTGTCCTTTGTACGTAATCTGCACAAATTCCGTAGCTGTTCTTTTTATGAGTTACAAGTTCTCTTTCTACCACCTAATCTAGCTGTCCTTTATAAATATCTTCGAACCCAACTGGGATCACTGTCCACCACGGTCCTGCTGCCAAAGCGTTGCCTTGACGATGCTGGGCGGTTTTCTGTCAATAAATACTCAGCGCACCCGACTGACGGCGTGTCCCTCCCCCCGTTTGGGTGCGCCATCATTATCCTCCCCTCTGACTCCCCGCCAGTGTGAGCCCAGAGATGAATGACCATGTGTCACAGCCCCGCGAGCACCGTCTCTCCTCAGGGTGAACCCGCTGACGCGGAGCGCGCTGTGAGGCCCGGACATCGCCCGCCTTAGAGCTGTGAGCGTGCTTTGCCCGGTTAGCCTCCCCCCCAGCGCTGAGTCCCTTCGCTTGCCCATGATATGAGACGAGGAGTCTCACTAACTTAGGCTGTGCTTTGTCATTTGCCAAGTATGTCATAGTATCTTCTTTCCTTCTTTTCCATGAGCTTTATAACCCCTGAGCGAGGAACAGGGAGAACACATCATTCCCTTTTATAGAGGAGAATCAAAGTTCAGGAGGGGCTGGGCCGCGAACCCAGTGACCGGGTCGCAGTCGTGATCAGAGGGGGGACGCGTGCCCCGGCCCGGCCTCTGCAGGCTCCCTGTACCGTTTTCCTTCCAGACCTCCCACTGTGCCCGGCACGGCCGCTCTGCCCCTGCGGGTCCGCACACGCGAGCGCCTTCTCTCAGCTCACTCCATTTCCGTTCAGCCACCCGTTGGCGGGCTCGCTGGGCCCCCTGGGAGAATCTGGAGGGGCACCCCCTCCCTGACGCCCCCACTGCCACCTGCCCTCAGAGCCACGCCACGCTCCTCCCACCCCGGCAGTTTCCACGCCCGTCGCCCCTCCAGCCTCTGAAAGACCAGCTCCCAAGGTTGCGGGTCTGGTGCGCAAAGTGGCTCTGTGCACTCCACAAGCTGCGCTCTGCCTTTTCTGTCTATCCCTAGAGGGGTGGTCGGGAGTTGGGGCTCATTTAAGTTTGTTGATGATCAGGAACGTGGAACATGGAAGGTGAAGTGGTTTATCCAACTTCCCAGAGCAAGGTAACAGCATGACTGGTCCCCGAGCACAGGCCACCTACCGTCTGTCTGGGACACGAGTCCACAGCAGGCCACGCCGGCTGTAGATACAGCACCGTTTTTATTCTCTGAAAAACAGTTACCATAAAATGTATTCATGTAACTGTTTTCAAGTGTACACGCGTGGGCATCAGGTACCCTCGCATGGCTGGGCATACACGGCCCATCCATCTTCAGGGTAGCTGGAGCTGCACACCGAGGCCCCGCGCCTCCCTCCCCGCTGCCCCTGGGGGCCTCGTTTATCTTTTCAAGACGGCGTCTTGTGATGGGACCCTGCTGCTCAGCCTCCAGACTCGCTGGGACCGCAGGTGTACACCACTGTGCCCGGCTCTTTATTTTATTGTTTGCGGTTTGCCAGAGGATCCGTGTGCTTGCCAGAGAGAAGGCCAGAAAGCACCCTCTGTGGGGTAGTCACACCAGTCCCTTCTCCATTTCTCCCTCCTTTCAGGATTTCGGGCGTGCATGCACAAGCCACCAGGTCTGGGACTTGAACCATAGTCAGCCGTGTGGGAATCCAGTGCCTTAACTACCATGCAACCTGCCAGGCCCATTAGACTGGATTTCAGGGCAGTTTAGGTTCATAGCAGGATTGAGAGGAGGTGCGACCATGTCCCATATGCCCCGCCTCCACACGCGGCCCACATGCACGTTGCCCTCCAAGGGGTCCGTTTGTTACAGCTGCGGAGCATGCGCACATGTTACCGCTCAGGTGCGCGGGTCACACCGGTGCTCTGGGTGTTGATGTTCTGTGTGTCGGACAAATCTGTCAGGACATGTCCCCCACTGTGCGTACGGTGTCACAGGACAGCCTCACGTCCCACCACCGTGCGTACGGTGTCACGGGACCGCCTCACGTCCCCACGGCCGTGCGTACGGTGTCACAGGACAGCCTCATGTCCCACCGCCGTGCGTACGGTGTCACGGGACAGTCTCACGTCCCACCACCACCGTGTGTACGGTGTCACGGGACTGCCTCACGTCCCACCACCATGCGTATGGTGTCACGGGACAGCCTCACGTCCCACCACCGTGCGTACGGTGTCACAGGACAGCCTCACGTCCCACCACCGTGCGTACGGTGTCACAGGACAGCCTCACGTCCCACCACCGTGCGTACGGTGTCACAGGACAGCCTCACGTCCCACCACCGTGCGTACGGTGTCACAGGACAGCCTCACGTCCCACCACCGTGCGTACGGTGTCACAGGACAGCCTCACGTCCCACCACCGTGCGTACGGTGTCACAGGACAGCCTCACGTCCCACCACCGTGCGTACGGTGTCACAGGACAGCCTCACGTCCCACCACCGTGCGTACGGTGTCACAGGACAGCCTCACGTCCCACCACCGTGCGTACGGTGTCACAGGACAGCCTCACGTCCCACCACCGTGCGTACGGTGTCACAGGACAGCCTCACGTCCCACCACCGTGCGTACGGTGTCACAGGACAGCCTCACGTCCCACCACCGTGCGTACGGTGTCACAGGACAGCCTCACGTCCCACCACCGTGCGTACGGTGTCACAGGACAGCCTCACGTCCCACCACCGTGCGTACGGTGTCACAGGACAGCCTCACGTCCCACCACCGTGCGTACGGTGTCACAGGACAGCCTCACGTCCCACCACCGTGCGTACGGTGTCACAGGACAGCCTCACGTCCCACCACCGTGCGTACGGTGTCACAGGACAGCCTCACGTCCCACCACCGTGCGTACGGTGTCACAGGACAGCCTCACGTCCCACCACCGTGCGTACGGTGTCACAGGACAGCCTCACGTCCCACCACCGTGCGTACGGTGTCACAGGACAGCCTCACGTCCCACCACCGTGCGTACGGTGTCACAGGACAGCCTCACGTCCCACCACCGTGCGTACGGTGTCACAGGACAGCCTCACGTCCCACCACCGTGCGTACGGTGTCACAGGACAGCCTCACGTCCCACCACCGTGCGTACGGTGTCACAGGACAGCCTCACGTCCCACCACCGTGCGTACGGTGTCACAGGACAGCCTCACGTCCCACCACCGTGCGTACGGTGTCACAGGACAGCCTCACGTCCCACCACCGTGCGTACGGTGTCACAGGACAGCCTCACGTCCCACCACCGTGCGTACGGTGTCACAGGACAGCCTCACGTCCCACCACCGTGCGTACGGTGTCACAGGACAGCCTCACGTCCCACCACCGTGCGTACGGTGTCACAGGACAGCCTCACGTCCCACCACCGTGCGTACGGTGTCACAGGACAGCCTCACGTCCCACCACCGTGCGTACGGTGTCACAGGACAGCCTCACGTCCCACCACCGTGCGTACGGTGTCACAGGACAGCCTCACGTCCCACCACCGTGCGTACGGTGTCACAGGACAGCCTCACGTCCCACCACCGTGCGTACGGTGTCACAGGACAGCCTCACGTCCCACCACCGTGCGTACGGTGTCACAGGACAGCCTCACGTCCCACCACCGTGCGTACGGTGTCACAGGACAGCCTCACGTCCCACCACCGTGCGTACGGTGTCACAGGACAGCCTCACGTCCCACCACCGTGCGTACGGTGTCACAGGACAGCCTCACGTCCCACCACCGTGCGTACGGTGTCACAGGACAGCCTCACGTCCCACCACCGTGCGTACGGTGTCACAGGACAGCCTCACGTCCCACCACCGTGCGTACGGTGTCACAGGACAGCCTCACGTCCCACCACCGTGCGTACGGTGTCACAGGACAGCCTCACGTCCCACCACCGTGCGTACGGTGTCACAGGACAGCCTCACGTCCCACCACCGTGCGTACGGTGTCACAGGACAGCCTCACGTCCCACCACCGTGCGTACGGTGTCACAGGACAGCCTCACGTCCCACCACCGTGCGTACGGTGTCACAGGACAGCCTCACGTCCCACCACCGTGCGTACGGTGTCACAGGACAGCCTCACGTCCCACCACCGTGCGTACGGTGTCACAGGACAGCCTCACGTCCCACCACCGTGCGTACGGTGTCACAGGACAGCCTCACGTCCCACCACCGTGCGTACGGTGTCACAGGACAGCCTCACGTCCCACCACCGTGCGTACGGTGTCACAGGACAGCCTCACGTCCCACCACCGTGCGTACGGTGTCACAGGACAGCCTCACGTCCCACCACCGTGCGTACGGTGTCACAGGACAGCCTCACGTCCCACCACCGTGCGTACGGTGTCACAGGACAGCCTCACGTCCCACCACCGTGCGTACGGTGTCACAGGACAGCCTCACGTCCCACCACCGTGCGTACGGTGTCACAGGACAGCCTCACGTCCCACCACCGTGCGTACGGTGTCACAGGACAGCCTCACGTCCCACCACCGTGCGTACGGTGTCACAGGACAGCCTCACGTCCCACCACCGTGCGTACGGTGTCACAGGACAGCCTCACGTCCCACCACCGTGCGTACGGTGTCACAGGACAGCCTCACGTCCCACCACCGTGCGTACGGTGTCACAGGACAGCCTCACGTCCCACCACCGTGCGTACGGTGTCACAGGACAGCCTCACGTCCCACCACCGTGCGTACGGTGTCACAGGACAGCCTCACGTCCCACCACCGTGCGTACGGTGTCACAGGACAGCCTCACGTCCCACCACCGTGCGTACGGTGTCACAGGACAGCCTCACGTCCCACCACCGTGCGTACGGTGTCACAGGACAGCCTCACGTCCCACCACCGTGCGTACGGTGTCACAGGACAGCCTCACGTCCCACCACCGTGCGTACGGTGTCACAGGACAGCCTCACGTCCCACCACCGTGCGTACGGTGTCACAGGACAGCCTCACGTCCCACCACCGTGCGTACGGTGTCACAGGACAGCCTCACGTCCCACCACCGTGCGTACGGTGTCACAGGACAGCCTCACGTCCCACCACCGTGCGTACGGTGTCACAGGACAGCCTCACGTCCCACCACCGTGCGTACGGTGTCACAGGACAGCCTCACGTCCCACCACCGTGCGTACGGTGTCACAGGACAGCCTCACGTCCCACCACCGTGCGTACGGTGTCACAGGACAGCCTCACGTCCCACCACCGTGCGTACGGTGTCACAGGACAGCCTCACGTCCCACCACCGTGCGTACGGTGTCACAGGACAGCCTCACGTCCCACCACCGTGCGTACGGTGTCACAGGACAGCCTCACGTCCCACCACCGTGCGTACGGTGTCACAGGACAGCCTCACGTCCCACCACCGTGCGTACGGTGTCACAGGACAGCCTCACGTCCCACCACCGTGCGTACGGTGTCACAGGACAGCCTCACGTCCCACCACCGTGCGTACGGTGTCACAGGACAGCCTCACGTCCCACCACCGTGCGTACGGTGTCACAGGACAGCCTCACGTCCCACCACCGTGCGTACGGTGTCACAGGACAGCCTCACGTCCCACCACCGTGCGTACGGTGTCACAGGACAGCCTCACGTCCCACCACCGTGCGTACGGTGTCACAGGACAGCCTCACGTCCCACCACCGTGCGTACGGTGTCACAGGACAGCCTCACGTCCCACCACCGTGCGTACGGTGTCACAGGACAGCCTCACGTCCCACCACCGTGCGTACGGTGTCACAGGACAGCCTCACGTCCCACCACCGTGCGTACGGTGTCACAGGACAGCCTCACGTCCCACCACCGTGCGTACGGTGTCACAGGACAGCCTCACGTCCCACCACCGTGCGTACGGTGTCACAGGACAGCCTCACGTCCCACCACCGTGCGTACGGTGTCACAGGACAGCCTCACGTCCCACCACCGTGCGTACGGTGTCACAGGACAGCCTCACGTCCCACCACCGTGCGTACGGTGTCACAGGACAGCCTCACGTCCCACCACCGTGCGTACGGTGTCACAGGACAGCCTCACGTCCCACCACCGTGCGTACGGTGTCACAGGACAGCCTCACGTCCCACCACCGTGCGTACGGTGTCACAGGACAGCCTCACGTCCCACCACCGTGCGTACGGTGTCACAGGACAGCCTCACGTCCCACCACCGTGCGTACGGTGTCACAGGACAGCCTCACGTCCCACCACCGTGCGTACGGTGTCACAGGACAGCCTCACGTCCCACCACCGTGCGTACGGTGTCACAGGACAGCCTCACGTCCCACCACCGTGCGTACGGTGTCACAGGACAGCCTCACGTCCCACCACCGTGCGTACGGTGTCACAGGACAGCCTCACGTCCCACCACCGTGCGTACGGTGTCACAGGACAGCCTCACGTCCCACCACCGTGCGTACGGTGTCACAGGACAGCCTCACGTCCCACCACCGTGCGTACGGTGTCACAGGACAGCCTCACGTCCCACCACCGTGCGTACGGTGTCACAGGACAGCCTCACGTCCCACCACCGTGCGTACGGTGTCACAGGACAGCCTCACGTCCCACCACCGTGCGTACGGTGTCACAGGACAGCCTCACGTCCCACCACCGTGCGTACGGTGTCACAGGACAGCCTCACGTCCCACCACCGTGCGTACGGTGTCACAGGACAGCCTCACGTCCCACCACCGTGCGTACGGTGTCACAGGACAGCCTCACGTCCCACCACCGTGCGTACGGTGTCACAGGACAGCCTCACGTCCCACCACCGTGCGTACGGTGTCACAGGACAGCCTCACGTCCCACCACTGTGCGTATGGTGTCACGGGACAGCCTCACCACCCTGCCAGCCCTCTGCTCCACGTGGTCATCCCTCCCTCCAAATCCTGACGAGGACTGGTCCCTTCTGCCTTTACAGACTTCTGCCTGTCCTGGGACGTCACTGAGTCAGAGCTGAGCCCGTTCTTGGGGCCGACTCGTGTCCCATGCCTTGTACCTACGTTTCCTTGCGCCACCCACCCCCTGGGGGACAGGGCTTCGTCGCACCCTGCGGCTACAGGGACCAATGTGCTCTGAATGTCAGTTTGTGAAATCTGTTTGTTTACCAAAGCTCCACCTAGGATCCTTCTGACCACCACCCACCATGTCACCAACGAAGGGGTTCCAGCCTCCCTCCCCTGCGTCGCCTCAGGAGTCCCCGCCCCCACCATCACCTGGACCAAGGTAGACGGGGCGTTACCAGGAGGGTCACGGGACAGGCAGGCCCCGTGCATTGTGGGAGCTCAGTGTGGGCTCAGTTGATGGCACCTGTGGTTCCATAGGGATCCAGTGCCCTGCACTCCGGGGGGCCGCGCCACAACGTGAGCGAGGACGGCACCCTGGTCCTCACCCAGCCCTCTGCCCAGGACGCGGGGGCCTATGTCTGCACAGCCACCAACGCCGTGGGCTTCTCTAGCCAGGAGATGCGGCTCTCTGTGAACAGTAAGTGACCGTGGCGCTGGCCTGGGACGAGGCCGAGCACTCTCTGGGTTAGTTCAGGGCCACATCCAGCTTCTAACCTGGGAGGGCCGAGGGAAGGCCAAGGTCTCAGCACTGGCTCTGCTTCCCGGGGAGCCAGCCTTGGCCCCCGCCCCCACCCCAGCTTCTGCCCTCTCACAGGCCCTCTTGCTTCCCCAACAGCCAAGCCCAGGATCAGCGTGAACGGGTCACACGACACAGACGAGCCTCTGAGAGTCACAGCGAGGGCTGGCGAGGAGGTGACCCTGAACTGCGAGGCCCAGGGCTCCCCGCCCCCACTGGTCACCTGGACGAAGGACTCCCATCCTGTGTCCCCCATCACTGACAGGTAACCTCAACCCGGAGGACTCAAGTCAGGAACAGGCAGAGCTCAGGGCTGGAGGAAAACGGGCCTCTAGAGGCCGGTGACCTGGCGGATATGTCGGGCCCTGTGGGCACTCCAGGGATGGCATTGGCTTGCCTTTTTAAAAAACTATTTATTTTGGGAACCAGCAGTTAGCGTAATGGCTATGTCGCTGGACTCCCACGTAGTCGACCGCGGTTCGTGTCCCGGACCCAGTGGCTTAAAACTCACGCCGGGCGCGTGTGCGTGTGTGCCCAAGATCCCGAGAGGAGAATGGAGGAGAAGGGATTGCGGCGTGACCATCCCCCCTGGGGGGTGATTTCTCGCTTTCTGTCTCTATGTCTCTCTCTGTCTGGCGAGCGCACGCGCCCTACAGTGAAAATCTCTCCAAAAAAAAAAAAACTATTTATTTTGTATTTATTATTATTATCATTTTCCAGTGTTTTATTGGGCACCTGTGCTCACCAGAGAGAGGCAGACTGAGAGACAGAGGGTGAGGAAAGTGAGAAAGCACAACACCCGCTAGTCCACTCACTGGCTTTCTTTTTATTATTATGTTTTCATTCGCTACAGGATGTGTGGACTTGCTAGAGAGAGGAAAAGTGAGAAAGCACCCCCAGGGGGAACGGCCGCATGGCACCCCCTCCGTTTCTCCTTTAGGGATGTGCTCGCATACACATGCCTGGTATTTTTGGTTTTTAGATTTTTTAAAGTTTATTTATTTAATTCTTCCATGAGGGAGAGACAAAGAGGTGGAGAGACCAACACCCCAGCGGGGTCTTCAGCTGAGCTCCCCCAGTCTCACCTGGCCCAGGCTGCAGACACGGGCTCAGGCCTCCTGCCGGTCAGGGAGGCCCAGACAGGAGCCGGAGAGCGGGATGTGAACCAGCCCGCCTTACAGCAGCTCTTCCACCTGGTCCTACACACGGCACTTTTGTCTGTGGGCCCCTCTGAAGCCTCTGGGGGGACTGCTGGAGGATGTACGGGAGCCCGGGGTGACCCCTCCCGCCAAAAAAAGGAGCACGCACGGCTGCTCTCAGAATCTCGCTCCACCTCAACCTCAGCCCCGTGTCAGAACTGAGCTGGGGACCCCGAGCTCAGCGAGGTGGGTGAGCTGCTGCTCGTCCCCCCCGGAACAGAGCAGAGCCGTGGCTGCCCTGGCCGTGACTCGTGCCACCTCCATGCAGGCTCCACCTGGGTTCTGGGGGCCAGGCTTCCTGACCCAGCTGTTCCTGTCCAGGACCCTGGGGGTGTCCTTCAGAGCCAGGCATACCCCAAAGCGGGGGTGTGAGGATGCCGGTTCCAGCCAGCAGGAGGGCCTGGAAACCTGGACTGGGAGGAGGGACTGAAGCTCAGGCCGGTGACATCAGCCCTGGCAAGGTCTCTGAGATGTTCCAGACCAAGGTCTCTGAGCAGCCTGCTCTGCAGCCTCCTCAGTTCCCCCGCCCACACAAGTGTCTGTGTCCTAGAACATCTGTTTGGTGAGCACTTCCAAACCTTGCAACTGTGCACCCCTAAGTCTGTGGGGCGCCGGGAGCTGGCCGTGTGCTGTGTCTACAGTGGTCCCCATACCCCACTGGCGTCCTGAGTCGGGGTGTGGAGGGGCGGGGGAGCACACATCTCCCCCCGCCCCCCAAGGCCTGGTCGGGCTCCGCAGCTGGGCGATGGCCGGCCTCGGGTGCTTGTTTATTTATGGCTTGTTACTGAGCGAGAACCCATCCGCTGCCCCTCCTCACTGTGATGCGCTAATAGATCAGCCGGGAGCTGTAAATTTGCAAGAGCCACTTTGGCAATCCCGGTGCTTTGTTCTGCTCCGCTCCCTCGCTGCTTCCCCTCTTGCTGGTTTACATGTTTCTCTCTTGAGATTTATGAGATTCCAAGAGTTTATCTAAATGAGGGAGAAAATGAGTGAAGGCAGGGGAGTGCGGAGGTGGCGGTTAGTCCTGGCATTCATCAGACCCCGGCATGGAGCCGGCTGGTCCCCCTTAGTTGTGTGGCCTCGGGTGGCCACTGGCGCCTCTTGGCCCGTTTCTCCTTCTGGAAATCGGACCTCGTCCATACACCGTACTGTGGAGAGTGATGGGTGTGCATGCTTCTTATGCTGCAAGTGCTGAAAACTCTCTCCCTAAGGGGGTTTTCCCGCTTCTGCTACTAACCAACTATGGCCGCACGTCCGGCGCTCAAAAGGTGACCGCCCTGCCACATCTGTTTTCTCCTTTAGTTCTCACCCTCTCTTTTAACAGAACAGATTTATTGAAATACAATTCACAGGCTGGCCCTATTGCGTGATAGTTAGAGGAACCGAAACGCAGAGGACCCGTGGCTGCCCTGGCCGTGACTCGTGCCACCTCCATGCAGGCTCCACCTGGGTTCTGGGGGCCAGGCTTCCTGACCCAGCTGTTCCTGTCCAGGACCCTGGGGGTGTCCTTCAGAGCCAGGCATACCCCAAAGCGGGGGTGTGAGGATGCCGGTTCCAGCCAGCAGGAGGGCCTGGAAACCTGGACTGGGAGGAGGGACTGAAGCTCAGGCCGGTGACATCAGCCCTGGCAAGGTCTCTGAGATGTTCCAGACCAAGGTCTCTGAGCAGCCTGCTCTGCAGCCTCCTCAGTTCCCCCGCCCACACAAGTGTCTGTGTCCTAGAACATCTGTTTGGTGAGCACTTCCAAACCTTGCAACTGTGCACCCCTAAGTCTGTGGGGCGCCGGGAGCTGGCCGTGTGCTGTGTCTACAGTGGTCCCCATACCCCACTGGCGTCCTGAGTCGGGGTGTGGAGGGGCGGGGGAGCACACATCTCCCCCCGCCCCCCAAGGCCTGGTCGGGCTCCGCAGCTGGGCGATGGCCGGCCTCGGGTGCTTGTTTATTTATGGCTTGTTACTGAGCGAGAACCCATCCGCTGCCCCTCCTCACTGTGATGCGCTAATAGATCAGCCGGGAGCTGTAAATTTGCAAGAGCCACTTTGGCAATCCCGGTGCTTTGTTCTGCTCCGCTCCCTCGCTGCTTCCCCTCTTGCTGGTTTACATGTTTCTCTCTTGAGATTTATGAGATTCCAAGAGTTTATCTAAATGAGGGAGAAAATGAGTGAAGGCAGGGGAGTGCGGAGGTGGCGGTTAGTCCTGGCATTCATCAGACCCCGGCATGGAGCCGGCTGGTCCCCCTTAGTTGTGTGGCCTCGGGTGGCCACTGGCGCCTCTTGGCCCGTTTCTCCTTCTGGAAATCGGACCTCGTCCATACACCGTACTGTGGAGAGTGATGGGTGTGCATGCTTCTTATGCTGCAAGTGCTGAAAACTCTCTCCCTAAGGGGGTTTTCCCGCTTCTGCTACTAACCAACTATGGCCGCACGTCCGGCGCTCAAAAGGTGACCGCCCTGCCACATCTGTTTTCTCCTTTAGTTCTCACCCTCTCTTTTAACAGAACAGATTTATTGAAATACAATTCACAGGCTGGCCCTATTGCGTGATAGTTAGAGGAACCAGATCCCTCATGCATTCCGGGTTTGAATCCTGGCCTCGGTGGTTTAGAAAACGTGCCAGGTGCGTGTGTATGTGTGCCTGAAATCCCAACGTGATACAGACACACAGGAGAGGGATTGCGGGGTGACCATGCCCCATGGGTGGTGCTTTCTCCCTCTCTCTGTCTCTCTAGAAAAACACGAGCCTCCTGGCAAAAAGAGATAGAAATACAGTTCATACTCCATGAAATGCACTTGTATGAAGTGTGCGATTTGATGTTTCAGTAGAGTTTGCAACTCTCACTGCAGTCGCTCTCCCAGCATTTTCATCACCCCAGGAAAACTGTCTACCCCTGGCAGACACCTCTGCTTCCTGCCCCGTCCCCATCCAGCTCCTGACAGTCACTGGCTGGTCTCCGTGTCTCTGAACTGGCGAGTTCTGGATGTCACTCATGAATGGAACCGTCTTCCTTTTGGTCTGGCTTCTTTCCTTGAGGCTCCTCATGTCTCCTTACGTTGTGGCGTGGGCCAGAACAGAGAATGTTTTTTCTTTTTTTGGAGAGGTTTTTGCAATAGGGCGCGTGCACTCGTCAGAAAGACAGAGAGAGACAGAAAGTGAGAAATCACCCCCCAGGGGGGACGATCACGCCACAATCCCTTCTCCTCCATTCTCCTCTCGGGATCTTGGGCATGCACATACATGCGCCTGGCGTGAGTTTAAGCCACAGGGTCTGGGACTCGAACTGTGGTTGACTACATGGGAGTCCAGCAACATAGCCATTACACTAACTGCTGGTCCCGAACTGACAACTTTTGATGCCAAGTGATGCTCCGCTCTGGACAGGCACCTTCCTCTGCCTACTCGCTAGCACGGGGATGGACAGCCGGGAGGAAGCTTACTGATGCTTCTGCTGTTTTCCACCTCCCCCAGCTCCCCAGCTCCCCAGCTCCCCCAACCCCCTGCAGCACAGGGTCCTGTTCATGCAGAGGGGAGCCAGCCCCCCACCACACACAGTGAGATTCAGCCCCAAGTGCAGATTTGGAAACCCCCCTGGGAAACACAGCAAGTGGTGGGGGTGGGGTGGACTTCTGTCTGTCTGTCCCCTCTTCCTCTACTTCCTTCCCTCGTTCCTCCCCTCTACTCGCCCACCCTCCCCCGGCTCTCCCTCTTCCTCCCCAAACTTTCCTAAAGCTCCCATTCTGGAAGCCTGAGCACCCTTCCAGAAGTCTCAGTGTCCATCAGCCCCCGGGGTTTGGTCGTCCCTCCCGGCAAGGGTGCCCGCGCTCCCCACCCCGGAGCCTCCTCTCCCCACTGGGCCTCCTGCTCCTTCCCCCTCTGTATCAAGGACACAGGCTCGTGGCCCTTTCTCTGGCCTGCCGTTGGCCCTCCCACGAGAAACACCCGCACTGGAGCCCAGGGCCAGCGTGTCAGGCCAGCTCTCCGCAGTGCTGAGTGGGATGCCGGAGCTGCAGCACGTATGCTCCCCTTCTGCACCTGCGCCATTTCCTCAGGGGACAGACTGGAGAGCCAGGG